TTGGAGCATTTGATCAAACTTTTAAACAAGAGATTATGGTTGAAAGAGACCATATAATTAGGAGTGATGTTGAATCATTCCAATGTCATTTTCTTTTCATTTTCATATTGGAACAGGAAAATTCGCATTTTCTTTTGCTAATTATTCTGATTTTTTCAACTTGTGTCTAACACCAAAAATAATAATTTTTTTTATAGAAAAATCCGATCCCCAACCGTCTTCGACGATAAATAAATTCTTCGACCAAAACTGCTGGAATTAAGAATAATACAAACAGATGGAATCACTTCCAATGTTACACAGCAAAAAAGAACATAAGAGACATCAAATCCATTCTTTCACTTTCACTTGCATTTTAAAAGAAAAGCTTAGTCACTTTTTGTCACTTAACTGCTCTATTGTTTGTGTGTATATATATATATATATATTTAGTGATAACTAATTTATCAAGACCATTGATTCAATATCTGACCATTCTGATGTGTATTATATGAAAGCATCAAGAAGTTTTGGACACTCGACAGTCCATTCAAGAACAAAATTGGGTGAAAATTTTGATGTTGCAATAAAAAAGGATAAAGTTTAAAGGGATGAAAACAAAAAAAAAGACTTTTAAAAACAACAAGTCTAACTGTATGCATGATGTAAAGGTGGCCTACAACATGGAATATAAGAAGACGATTTTTCATGTGAGCCGTCTAAATATGTTGTATTGTGGAGGAAACTTATGCCAAATTGCCAATTTTCTTTCGACTAAGTGGGAAAACAAAAGGCAAGAATATCGACATAGTTACTGATAAACGCGTAAATATTGTATGCATTTCGGTCTCACTTTCCTGGGGGATGCTGATGAAGTGAGACGTATGGAGATGGGAAAGGGCCGGCTGCGTGCCATGCTACGAAACTGTGAAGAAAATTAGTAGGGAATAATGGTGACAAGGATCCAAGAGCTGTAACCATGAAGTCCCTCACTGTCCATTGACGTCAATTGTGCACTGGATTAAGGTCAAACTAAGAGTGATAGAGTGTGTACAAAAGAAAAAACCTAAGTATAAACTTATTTGGTGCTTGGACTAGAGCGTAGATGGCATTTTTCTTATACTGCTTGTCCACACTTCATGCAATCAAAGTGGTAGGAAAATCAATCTACCATAAAAAAATGACACTGTTGAGGTCCAAGCAAAAGTGTACAATTTCACTATTGCAGTCAATTGAATTTTCTTTGCCAATGGCATCTATCAAAAGGTATCCTGAGCAATGGCAAAAATTGGGATCATTGATATTCCTGATATAGTAGATGTTATCACACAACTGTTAAATTGTTATCAAGATATTAGATGCTTCAATTATTTTTTCCAAAAAAGTTTTAGAAAGGGCGAGGGAGGAGAAGAAGTGGGTTTGGGGGGGGGGGGGGGGGGGGGGGGGCACTTTGAGAGTTACGTCTACCCATTTTACTCATGTATAGGAAATGTAACAACATAATATTAACATGTCCAATTTTTCTATACACGTCGAGAAGGAACGGGGATCGAACAAGGTTTGATCAAGTCATCGTCACTGGTGATATCTATCATTAAGATATAATCTCTATTTTAGAACACGACCAAATTAATGAATCCTTTACGTTGTGGTTTGGTAATTGCCTAGTTTGGATCCATTTATCCCCAATTTTCCTAGAGAAAAGTTAACACCTTGAAAGCTGATCTCTCTTGCGAACAATAAATTTCAATCTGCCGACGAGTTTGCTTGAGCTGATTTTGGCCACTTTTATTTGTGTTCAAAATCTCATTCTTGAAAAGAATCATTATTTATGAGAATGCTATTGTTGGGAACACATCGTTTTCGATTTATTACCAAGTTTCCACGCAATCAGATATGGAAAAACAACAACAACCATTCAAAATGACAACATGGGAAATGTGTTATCACTGTTATGTATGTCCCTGAACATAACTACTTGGGAAAGTTTCTTTGCAAATGTATAGGAATTTAGTACCAACAGCCTTTTCATTTTGTTTTTTTTTCTATTTTTCGGAATCGCTAATTAGTTTATAATATGCAAATGAGATCTTGTTATATCGTAAATGTATTGAGCTTGAGCATGAAGTTGTAGCTATTTCTTAATAAGCCATTAATTAACGTAGTCGTTTGCCACTCCTATGCAGTCTTGGTAAAACATGAACTGGTTGATTCGGTGTCCACATAAATTTTTTTCCAAGCAAAGTATATAGTTAGGCTTAAGGTAGTTTTTTTTTATCTTAAGGAAATACCGATACCAAGGTAGTTTGTTTGGAAGGTTCTACTAGTTAATAACTCAAGGTGTAAAGTTCAAGTCTTGTGTAACAGACTCTTGTTTGACCCGATTTATCTGATTAACTAAAAATACAAAAATCATCTGGTTGAATCGATCAAGTCACTATGTAGGAAAAATGAAACATGTCTTATATTCATGTTTACCCCCAAAATCCATCAACTTTAGTGTTCTTCCCTTGCTCATTATGCCAAATAGTCATTGACCCCAGCAGTAACTAAACCACTCGATTTGTAGACTAGGGAAAACATTGATTGATTCAATAGGCCCAACCTATTTATGGCAATAAAAAAAGCTGAGTTACCAAGGTAACAGCTATGTTCCTGATCATGTAGCCATTGTAGAATGGTCCGTGAGAGACACTGGACCTCCCTACCCTGAGTACTAATACCCTATTAATCCAACTGTTACAACAAGTTTCAATGAACAGCTCAAAATGTTAACTGCTAGTGACAAACCACAGTTTCTCACTCTATCCATTTTCTGGATGTCCTTGACTTCAAACCCTTAAAACCAGATGGTGGTAGTACAGTTTCACTTTTACTATTACTGCAACAATGATATCGTTGTGATTCGTGTGTGTGTGTGTGTGTGATGAACAATCAATATGAAATAGAATAATAAAAGAAAAACATAAGAATTTACGTGTTCGGTTACCTGTTTATGTCCACCATCCTAAAACGGCTACCTTGTTTTTTATTTCTCATTGAATTAGGGTTACAACTTAACATATATATATATATTATAATCCTAATTAGGACATCCCGAAGGCACTGTTACTTCAAACTGCGGGGTAATTCAAATCCACTAGATGGCAAGTTGTCTTCGTTTGCACTCCAACAGTTGGCTCATTATCCTCTTGGGTCTAGTGTAATTCTGCATATTCTGAATATGAGTCATCTATCTCAACAGATATATATATACAAATAATTACACACATCTATATTTGGGTGTGTAATTTAGACGGATTAGGAGGGTTAAGAGTCAACTCATGTGTGATCTATGTTTAAGCTTCTAAACTTTGGCTAAACTTGAGTTTAATTTTTATCTTAAAACTCAATGAATTTAGATTTGATGTATATCTTTCGAGTCGTCTTGGACGTACACTATCACCTTGGTTTGGCACACCATAGAATATAGATTTGATGCTTGAGTTACACATCTCGGGTAAAAATTTGGGTTGAAATTGAATACAACAACTCAAATTGGGATTGAATTGGATTCCAAAAATATGATAACCCGATCCAATTACTCTATAAATGGGGATAGAATTAACCTACTTAAACTGCACCCATGATTGGCATAAGAGCAATGCTATTGAGATCTAAAAATTTGACTTAATTCACTGTAACATTTGGATTGGTTATAAAGTCCATCAACATTAGAATTTGATGTTGATTTAATAATTTCTATTAATTCATATCATTATATCAACAAATTAGGTTCACGTAACCTTACTCTTAGCATAAACATACATACGCAGGAGAGTAGGTGGCTGGGAACACACCAACAATTCTACCAAGCAATACGTATGAAAAAAAAAACAAAAAATCCATTATTACGTATGGCTATGACCTTTCTTAGTGTAAAACACTAAGACCGGAGCAATAAAGATGCGCACCAGTGCGCATTGTTCCTCACATACAAACACCAACCGAGAAAAACCAAAAATATATGTATTGACCTCAGCAGCGTTGTTGCGTGCGTTTGGTATAAGAAAGGGTTAATTTCACTTTGTACCTTAAAAGATATTTAGATTTTTAATTTGTACCCTCAAATATGAAAAATTTTAATTTATATCTTCAATGTTATGAATTAATAGCAATGTAGACCTGAGCTAAATTATCGTCTAATTTTTTGTTTTAAATTAAAGTACTTAAGTTGCAAGTATTTTGGGCATACACTTATGTATATATACACAGACTATAAGTGCCTCATGCAAGATGCACATAATAAAGTTAACTTTTATATAGTTAATGAAATCCTATTTTCGATGCACAAAACAGTGTCAAATTAATTGCAGACGAAGATCTACAGCGATAGACGTACCTCATTCTCATGTCTAAAGTACTTACACCTCACATATTTTAATTTACGACAAAAAACTGAACGACAATTTGGGTTAGGTCCACATTGCTACTAATTCATAACATTGAGAGTACAAATTAATATTTTTAATATTTAAGAGTGTAAATTAAAAATTGAAGTATTCTTTAGAGTATAAAATAAAATTAGCACTATAAAAAAAATATTATTTCGACCTAAAATGTTGATCGGATTTATTGATCAAATCAATTACAACTATTGAATTGATAGTATATTTTGATAAATATTGGGACTGCTGGTTAATTCAACAATAATGATGAATTAAATCAATAAATTACGTAAATATTTTAAGTCAAAATATCATTGATCCGGATATAAGGTGCAGGGGAAGGGGAAGGGGAAGGGGAAGGGGAGAGAAATGGCAATTAAGCGGCGGAGAAAGCGTCGTTATAGGACCACCTGCTTTCAACAGACAAAAAAATTAAAAGTTGTATGGTTTATTAGGTCCACGCACGTGTTGTGCACGTGACTAGAACCCCAATATGTGATAGGTGTGTTAACAGCACTCCATGGAAAAGTGTTTAGGGATGGTTTATTTGAGAAATACAGAAGGAAAGTTGCATGGTCCCTTTCTAATGCACAGAGAGAGAGAGAGAGAGAGAGAGAGAGAGAGAGAGAGAGAGAGAGAGAGAGAGAGGGATTGGTGGGATGCTTTAATAGGTGGTTTAATTGGAAACATTGGGACCACCTCATCTCCTTGCCTTTACAGAGGCTAATTTGTGGAACATTTTGCACCAACATATTGGCATCTTCTTTTTATATCTTTCTTCTTATCTCTCTCTCTCTTTCTCTAAAAGGACTCTGCAGTTGTCTTGAAATTTGATCAGAATTTCAACCCCACAGCATAACAGAGTAAAACCCTTCTGACAAAAGCTGGGCACAACTCTAGTTTAGCTCCAGTTCTAGGGATTCGTACACGCCAATGATCTGTACTCATATTTGTAGGTATTTATGTCTTTGTTGATTTTCTGGGTTTTGTTATTGTTTGGTTTTGGGTTCATGTATTAATAGAAGATTAAGTAAAGACAAACATGTCATGTGGCGGCTGTTGGCTTGCGTACCAGGCAAAGGACTGTGAACTCTTTCTGTCCATGGTCTTGTAAATGTGTACTTCAAAGAGGAACGACTATAACTACAAGTTTTTTCATTAAGTTCACAAAGGTTAAATATTTATATAGGGTAGATTTAAAAATTAAATTATTTTGACTAGTATTTTAATTTTTGGGGGGTTGATTTGATCATTTTTTATAGATAGCGGGGGGGGTATGAAATAATTGAGGGGTGGATTTTATTTCCAGGAAGTCTGTTTTGGATGCATTTATATCATGGTGCATTGACCAGCTTGGGCTGTGTGTGAGAGAGAGAGAAAATCAAATGATGAACAAGGCCTGGAGGTCATCATGAACCCCCCCTATCTGATTTTCTATTTCTGTTTCTGAGGAGATATCTGATCTTTCTTCTTGGGTTGGCTTTCATGGCACTCCATGTCATGTTGGGTTATTAAGAGAACAAGTCTTAGAAAAAACCAAAAGGAAGGCCCCTTCATCACCACCATCACCTCCACATATGGTTACCGTCAATTCAAAAATATAATCAATTCTCCTACACAATCGGTAAATTCTCCTTCTCTCTCTCTCACACACATACATACACACAAGTTTGTGTAGTCTGTGGTACAGTAAGCTAGTAAAGTTTCTAGTGTTTTTTGAGAAAAAGATATAACTGTGTTTTTTTGGGGATATTTTGCGGAGTGGAACTTGATGAATTTGTAGTTGCAGAGCATGGAAGTCTTCAGATGTAAAATCTAGAGGCAAGAACCAGATAAAACAATAGAGCAGCTACAGCAAGGACAAATAAGGTTTCCGTCATATATGGCTGGTGAAGATAAAGCAAGAAACTTGGTGTCATCTACTGGCTATTGTTACTCTGATGTTTCATCGAGTAACCCAAACATTCAAACCCATCTGGTGAATCAGATTCAGAACTTGTCCAACCCAGAGATCTACAACTTGACCACAGGCATGGATATGATAGGGTTTCCAACAAAAAATCTACAGCAACATAGTGACAACAACTCAGCCATGTGGAAAGGGTTCTTCGGCAAGCCAAACCCCCACCACCCCGGCACCGGTCCGTCCTCTTCGAAGACAATCGGTGAGCCAACAAGAAGTGATTTTTATCAACATGAGTTTAGTAAGCTTGATTTCACACCTGGTGTTTCTGATACCACAAATGAGAACTTGATGATTGCAACAGATCAGTCAACATCTTGGCATCAAGAGGACAGATTGCTTGTTGATGACCCATCTTTTAGGTGTGTGTTTCCTTGTGAAGGAAACGAAAGGCCTAGTCAAGGTCTCTCACTCTCTCTCAGTTCAAGCAATCCTTCCACTATCGGGTTACAATCCTTTGAACTGAGACAACAAGATGATATAAGGTTTGCTCCTTCAAGTTCTAGAGAGATGTTCTTTGGAAAATATTTGAATACAACACAACAGCAAGAACTGATGCAAGATGGGTTTTTGGAAAAAGCTTCAAATCTTCATCATCAAGGCCACTTTTATATCAGGAACTCTAAGTACTTGGGTCCTGCTCAGGAACTGCTGAATGAGTTGTGTAACCTTGGAACAAAGCAAACTGATCATCCATCCAAGATAAAGCTCCACAAGACCAATCAGTGGCAGGATGAGAATGCAAGTAGTTCAAAAAAGCAATCTTTGTATTCCCTTGACCTCCTGGAATTGCAGAAAAGAAAAACAAAACTGCTTCAAATGCTAGAAGAGGTATATTAATCCATTATGTACTCCTTCCAACATCATTTTTTCTTTCTTTCTTTCTTTCTTTCTTTCTTTCTTTCTTGTGCATTTTTTCTTGGCATACGAAAGAGTTGTGTGGTTGATTGATTTAGGGTCTCTCAGACTTCAAACCCTGAACTAATTGGGCGACTGAGGGCCTTTTCATTAATGCTCATATCACATGGTGACAATCCGGCACTTTCATTAAATTTCATAAACCTCAAGTGTCTATTCCTGTTTATTTTTTTTCTGGGTCCTCTAACATTTTACTACTCTTACTTGTGTGTATCCTTGGCTGTAATTCTTGAACTGCTGTGAAAAAGAACCACAAATCTTTACTATCAATATTGTTCTTTTTCACTCTTTTCTTTTATCTTTTATATGTGTGGGTATTGTATTTGTAGGTGGATAGAAGATACAAGCACTATTGCGATCAAATGAAGGCTGTAGTGTCATCATTCGAAGCGATGGCCGGAAATGGGGCTGCAAGAGTGTATTCGGCCTTAGCTTCTAAGGCCATGTCGAGGCATTTTAGATGTCTAAGAGATGGGATTGTTGATCAGATTAAAGACACCAAGAAGGCAATGGGAGAGAAGGATACAGTCGCTCCGGGGGCGACTCGAGGCGAGACGCCAAGGCTTAGGCTTCTTGATCAAACTCTGAGGCAGCAGAGAGCTTTTCAGCAGATGAGCATTATGGAGAGTCATCCATGGAGACCCCAGCGTGGCCTGCCTGAGAGATCTGTGTCTTTTCTTAGAGCTTGGCTCTTCGAGCACTTTCTTCACCCGTAAATCTTTCTCTCTCTCTCTCTCTCTCTGACATATTGTCCGATGAAGTACTTGTACTGTTTTTGAAGTATTTATACTTGCTTCTTAGATTTACCAGAGAATCACAGGTTTCTTGAAACAAAAATGCTGAAATTCTTACCCGAAGTTGCAATCATTTGTTTGTAAAAACAACCCAATGTTTTGGTTGTTTCCATCCACCACCATTCAGATTCCATTTAGATATTAATTTTGTTTTATTCTTTTCAATCATGTTGATTTTATTTTTATTGGTGTTGGTTGGGCCTTTGCCTTATATTTGTGTGGATTTGATTCTGCTCCATAGGACCCATTCCTCCCCCCCCCCCCCCCCCTCTCTCTCTCTCTCCCCACCCACACACACAGACACCCAACCCGGTAGTTTTGGGTTCTTCTCACATGTACCATTGCACAGAATGAACGTTAACTTCCAAGTACTTTGCTTTATGAATATTGCAGGTACCCAAGCGATGTAGATAAACACATCTTAGCCCGCCAAACTGGTCTCTCAAGAAGCCAGGCACGTCCACATCTCTCTATAATTATTTAATCCACCATCGATCAGTATATTGATGTACTCAATGGGGTATATCTTCTTAGAATACATCATTAATTACTATATAATTATTATATATATAAATATCTTATGCCTTTTGTCTTTATATGTTACAGCTTACACATGATTAATGCTTAAGCTTACAAGTATGTTTGTCCAGGTATCTAATTGGTTCATTAACGCAAGAGTGAGGCTATGGAAACCTATGGTGGAAGAGATGTATTTAGAAGAAACAAAGGAGCAAGACAATATGGTGGGCTCCTCTGATGGAGTTACAGCCCTTGATAACAATGGTGGCCGGCAGAATCAGAATCCTCAACCGCGTCTCGAAGATCAGAAACCAACCCAAGACCAACTAGTTCGAATTGATTCAGAGTGTCTCTCTTCTATCATCAACAATCCAGAGAAAAATGATAGTAAATTAAGTAGCAAAAGCCTGCAAAATGAGGAGCCTCACAGCCTGTACCACCACCACCACCAGCATAGTTTTGGCAGATTGGCGGACTCATTTGGTGCCGTGGAATTGGACTTCTCATCCTACAATCATCACACTGAGGGAGGTGTTTCTTATGCTAATGAAAACGCTAATCACAATTTTGGCAGTGGCGGCAGTGGTGGTGGCGGAGTGTCGTTAACATTAGGTCTACAGCAGCATGGTGGAAGTGGGGTGAGCTTAGCATTCTCTTCCACATCTCAAAGTTCTCTCTTCTACCCTAGAGACCAGATTGAAGATGGCCAACCAGTTCAGTACTCACTTCTTGATGGTGAAGGACAGAATTTGCCTTACAGGAACTTGATGGGGGCACAGTTGCTTCACGACTTGGCCTAGGAGGGCAAAAGGAAACAAAATTTTATCAAGGGGTTGATGATGTTTGGATTTGGAGATGTTCTTGTCAGTCAAAGGATGGTGATCTAATTACATGGGATAGATTGATAAAAGAAGGGTAATGCGATTATGATTAAAAAAAATGACAAAAAATATGGACCAAATAATATGACAAGTAACATCACTATGTTAGTGTCTATTTGGTCGATATTTTTTCTCTTTTTGGATCGGTCTAGCATTTCCAAGTACTTGGATATTCATACATTAAGCTATACTTGGGTTCGGTAGATTATGAAAAATTACTTTCATGGCTGGTAGTTTGATTGCTCCGAAGAATATTTGGATTACTGTTAGGATTGAATATCAGGATTTTCCAGTGATTCATGCAAGAATATACATATATTTCTTTCCCATTTTGGGTAGATTCTATAATTAAAAACAATTACCCTTTACATAAGAACTCAAGAAGAATCCTTCCCTCCCCCCCCGGGGGGACCTTCTCTCTCTCCCTCTGTATGTGTGGGTGTGTTAAACCATTTGATAGCACAAGCTAGCTGGCGGATTGAATCATTTGGTTTTGTTTTTTTTTTTTTTGCTGTATTTATATAATTTTATTCATTCAGAAAAGAGAGACATAGCAAAGTTCAGAACACAAGAGATAGAAGGTGTCCCAAGAACACAATAACAAGAATCATTTGGTGCTCAGTCTAGTCTGAATGAGAAGTTCCATTGTTGTTGGGATACATAAAGATTTTTCTTTCTTTTTCCATAACGACAATTAATAAACCTACAAAATCTGTTTGGTTTTCAACTCTCCTGTGATTAGGACTATTCATCTAGAAATTACAAAATATCATGAATATCATTTCATAATTGTGGTCCCTTATTCGTTTTTCCAAAAGATATTTTCGTGCATGAAAAGATTGCTTTCATTTTGGTTCGTCAACTATGGGAGAGTTTACGCCCCCACTTTCAACAATGGAAAGCTGCTTTATGAACTGCCTTTTTAAAAATAGCATGGAAGCCTAATGGATGTTTTTGGGGCTATATTTAAGGTTGATAATGGAGCATGTTAAGCTTATTTTTTTAAACGAATCTAAAAAATTATATATGTTTTATTCGTTTAGAAAATGAACCGAGCCAAAAATAAACCGAACTCGACCCAAGTCTAAATAACTTGAATATTTTATTTATAAACAAATTGAACTTTATAAAATCAAGCCAAGATTTTTAGGCTCATTTTTTTAAATTAATCTAATAAATTGTTTAAATTTGATTCGTTTAAAACACAAAACAAACTCAATTCGAATTGTAGTTCAGCTCAAACATGAGCCCTAGCTATATTGAGACATCGAAGGTGCAATTCACATAAGATTGAAAGGTGCCCGCCATTATTCTTTTCCTCCACTGGGGACATATCTTACAGGTTTTTGAAGCTTGTAGCCTGGTACTGAGGATGATCATCGAGTTTAAAAAGCCAATGTCACTGTCTTGCAGGAAATATCCAGGCAACAGCAGATATTTTGTGCTTACATGATCGTCGTCATGACCGGACTAGGTAAAACAATCTTTTCTCGTGATCACACAATTTTAGATGCACAACGTAGTTTAAGACGTGTCCAAAGGCTCTGAGTGTGTACTCACAAAAGAGATACTCAATAACCCTAGTCTAGGATGTAATATTCTTAACACTCGAGAGACTAGGTAATTACCCTTCGCCCCTCTCAACCCACAGGTGTAGATACACCACTACATATATATATCGAGACTTCTCTTCATGCGCTATGGTTGACCTTGGCCCATGATTCATTATTTTGAAATAATATTACTGGAAGTTTTGAGGTTGAACATGCAGGTATTAATGCTGATCTATTTGGCAAACAACACATAATTAACTGAAGGAAAGGAGAGTAATCAACAGTACTATTGAATGAGATACAATTATATTCATGACTGTGCTGTTGATCATCCCATATATTCTATAGTATTCAGTATTGAAGCATTTGCACTTGCTGTGGTACTTGAGAGGACCTACCTAGTACATAACTGAATGGAAGGTGACAGTTTATAATCCACAATGCCCCATCTGGTTCTCAAAGAAACAAAATGTTACACTGAGTAGTAAAAACTAGCTTAAACAATTTATTTATTTTTTATTTCCTTCCATATTATCTTCTAGGCTAGCTTGGAGCAGATAGAATGACAGTCGGTCCTCAGTTCATGTTAGGAAAACTGTATGTAGTTCTTCAAGCAGGTTTCTCTAGCTGAACTATTATCTGTCATAAAAAATTGAACACTGGTGGTCAAAACATTTTTTTTTTCTTTCCGAAAGCTAAATAATTTCAGTAACCCGAAAAGGCGGCTAGAACGTGTTGGTCCTTCAGTAGGTCAATCCTTACCTCATATACTCCCCCATCCTCAAAGCCTATTCTTCCCCTTTGAGGTATACGTGACTTCCTCTATATAGCAAAACAGTTTGCTAAAGGTGTGAGAAGCACATAGAGTTTGGACTTTTACACATGCATTTGATTTTGGAGGACACGTGTTGAAGAAATGTAGTAATCTCCTATGAATCGGAGGCCACTGTTAGTTCTCATGCTTCCCAAGGAACCATATAACCTAAAAAATTGTAGCATTGCACAAAAGTCTCTACTTACAGTATAATTTGAGAGAAGTAAGTAGTAGACAACTTTACGTCTACTTTGAAACGGTTGATCCAACAAGAAACCATACAAAATGGAGCAAGAAATCATACAAAATGAATAAAAAATGGGCTGTTTTGCCATGGGATTGGTATAAAATCTACATAGCCAAACGGATCAACTCTGTCGGTAGGATAGGCAACCCAAATTCAAGTATGGCATGGAAGAAAGAAAAGGGGTTATGTGGTCACCCACGTCCCTCCGCTATATTAAAATCACATCATTTAATCCCTTTTGTTGGTCTTATTTTGTATAACCAACCAAGCATTCTCCTTTAGCATTACCCTTCTTTTGTTTAAGAAAGAACGGTTGGAAGAGTCCCACACTCCGCCTACCCTTCTTGTCCTCATTAACCAATCATAACAACTGCAACGTAAAACTTGAGTATTTGACTCCTGGGTTGTACGTGAAATTAATCCATTTCTCCCCTTTCCAAAACCTAGACATGACTGTTTTTCAGGCCTATTCAGAGTGAGTGGGCCTGAATCTAGCCCATCACCTTTTTTCAGCAACTTATTGTCCCTCAATTATGGTTTATGATATTAAATCCCGAACCTAGGTGTGATCCATTTAAAAAAAATTGGGTTTTTTTTTTTTTGGGAAAGGGGAAGAAGGGGGAAAAAAGGATGAGTGCAATCACCTGTGAACGAAAATGAGCACTAACCACGGAATCACTCTCTCATCGTTCAACTATCCTATATGGTTGCGTGTTTGCAAACTGAAAAACCAAATAGATGCTTCTGTAATGAAAGCCAGCACTAAAAAGGTGTTACCTGCTTTGGAGGGCTCTTTTGTGTTCCACATTTCATTTGTAGGCAAGAACTCCAAAACCTACTAATGAAAAAAAAAAGTCAAATAACCACCTAGGATTTCAAATAATCCTCATTGATATAGCTTCAAACACATTGATAGATTGGTTATTAAGTTTCAAGGCATCGTAATATTATTTTGTAGCTTCGAACTATTTTTTAAAGTGAAGAAAAAATTTAACCGATTACACACACTTGATGGATTAAGCAAAACTAACCATGCCGATATCAAGAATAGAAAATGCCACAAAAATTAATGTCTAGGTTTTTTGACCGAATACTATAATTTTGACGAAACCAAGACTTTTCATATAACAAAAACATTATTCGTCCCTCCACACATGGAAATCTTTTTTATTGTATTTTTCACGGCACCCATAGATCCACAGGTTCATCAAATCTCCCATGAAACTCTGACCTGAACCAATAAAAAAAAAAAGAGATCAAATCCCTTGAAGTTCACATGTTTCCCCATGCAACAACTACGCAGAATAAATGAGCAGGATAAAGATGGTGGAAACAATTGCAAAGGTGAAGTAAACAATGCTGATGAGAGGACAGAAAGCACAAAAGTAAAAGAAAACTGAATATCTTGCAACCACTTGAGATTTACCAATATTACGTATGTGGAAAATCCAATAATAATAAAGGATATATCTACTGGCCTTTGAACCACACAATTTTTATCAAATGAATTTCAAAATAAATTATTTTTATCTTTTTTTTTTTCTTATAGTTAAAACAACGAATTGTTGGAAATAAACAAAATTTTTTGAATTCTATAATATAATACGAGCGATAAAAATATAATTTTGTACAACCTTCATATGATATTTAATTTAGGTACACATATACTTTAAAAAAATTTACTAATATTTTATATGCAAATATTATTTACGTGCAACGCACATGGTGCATGACTATTATAAGATAAATATCTCTTTCTTTTGCTTATAAAATATTGCGAAATCAATTTATCTAGATTATAATAATGGTGTAACAATCGACAACATTCCCTAGAAGAGGTAGAAATGATGAAAAATACTGTGAAAATTAGTATTTTTAAATAAAGTTGGTACTCCCGAAGATACCAAGAAAAAGATACAGTGAAAGTTGTATAAAAAAAGTTGGCATTCCCGGAGAGGTCACACCCACAAAACAGATAAAATAATCAATCCAAGTTTTTTGTATAAACATCCCAGAAGAGGAGCCTCTTGAAGAGAAATCCCTTTTGTAGTGACAAATGTATCTAAAAATAATGAGATCTCAATAAATTATGTACGTACAAAAGAAAAATAAGACACTCTTCCCGCCATTAAGAGGAGGAAATCTACCACTTAAAGAATGGTTTGAATTTTCTTACATTCTTGAAGCGTGGTCGACACATAGGTGAAGAAATTTACAAATTTCAACTTTTAGCACTTTTGTAATTTTAATACTAGAAATGTACTAATATTTGTGTGCTTAAGGTTCATGAATATGCAATATTTGAAGAGTTTTGGAAGTTTGGCAAATTATTGTCTATTGAAAACGTAACGGCCTTTTGGTGTGTTAGAACAAAAAGGAGTTGAGCAAAGTAAAAAAGTTTTTCCTTTTAGCAAGCTGATTTTTTAAATTTCATGAATTTATTTGTTATTTTTATCAACTCTTTGCTTCGTACATAAAAGTAGGAAAAAATTGTGTTATCAGGTTATGATATATTTTTATTAGTGAGGAAAAAAAAGAATAAAAGTGTTACTACTGATGCTGCTATGAAAATGATGAAAATAATACTATATTTAACCCTTTTATTATATCTTTTACTTTTGTTTTAATAGATAGAGAGGAAATATTTTTTTTCCTCATAATTTAATTTATTGTTTTCTTAGGGAAAGAAGTCATCTTTTGTAGAATTTGATATTAAAATCTACAAAATGATGGAACATGTGGCTTGCTCTTGACACTTTGGTATAGTGAATCTCTAGGAAAAATGCATGAAGTAGTCACCATTTTGAATTCTATAAACAATTGAATATTCTAAAAACTCACTTGTGATGAGAGCAATTTTAAGTATTCCTACAAAATCATGTATTACACTATATTATTTTTTCATTAATACATATGTAATTTTTTTTTCTAATGGTTACATTATGTGCTGATTCAGGATCCTTAAATGATTTCTAATTTCACTTATGGGTCAAAAGTAATACAATAATAGGAAATCTTGCATTGGGTAAGGTTTTGATAGGAATTTACCTTGAATAACATTTCAACTAATATTATCATTTCTCTTGCTTTGATTTGAGTTTAATGTTCATTGTGGTCTTAGAGTCCTCAATGATTTATTTTATTTTATTTTATTATAATATTAGAGTGCATGCCCTTTTTAAATTCTAGAAAACCACTTAATCTATGGTTAAAGTGTTGTTTTTTACAATGATGTGGTCAAAGACCACTTGTTTTTTTAAAGATTTAAAACAATAAAAATCATATAATCTATATAACAAAAATATTATATCTTATGTGATATTCAAAATAGTTCATGTGCAACGTACGTGTGCTCATATCAAACTTCAGAGAAGCCCTGCTCATGCATTCAGATAATGAAAAGAGGGAAAACTCTACGGTGCAAATGTCTCGTTCTTGACGGATTCTTGATGACCCTAACCTCTATTATTAGAATATTTAGCCCTTCATATTAAGCATTACTCTTACTCATTAGAAACACTTTCATGTAACCTATCCTAGCCCACCATAATCCTAACAACATTGCACCTCCCCACCAATCATCTTTGGTACCACCACACCCCTCATGATCTTAATTTTATGCTGTCTTGATGAAGATTCATACCATTTTAGTTTAATATTTCTCTCAAATTTGAATAAGTTATGTTTAAAGTAGGCATAATTTATTCAAAAAATATTTTAGGATCTCCCTAAACTCCAATTATATTTGGACAAGAAATATACATTCAGTTGGATTTATGGATGTGGTTAGTTTTTGATGGTGTCTAAAAGCAAGTAGGCCTGCGATTTTTTGGCTTAGGTTCTTATAATATTTAAGTTCTTGTCAATTATCAGTTTTTGGAAAATTGAAAATTTGCAAGTGATGTGATTTGATTGCAGTTTAACACAAATCTCCCCATACAATTGCTTAGCATCTGTTATATTGTGTGACTATGGTTGCCGAAAGCCTAACGTTGATGATTTTATTTACTTCAAACAACAAATTATTCTAAATAGTTTTGTCTCATGAATAACAAACTTTTTTAACTATAGATCGTCACAACATGCTCAAATATATGCTGAAGTGTCATGAGATCAATTTATTAAAAACTAAGAAAGAAAAGAACGCTGAACTATAACAAGAAATATGAAAGTTGGTTTTTGATTGTAGGCATGAAAGGCATTCGTTTTATAAGTATTCTATCAAGTGATGATTCATATAAAATTGGGCCAAAGGTATGTTTTATGAAATAAGTTTAATAAAAAATCAACAAAATTATGAGTTTTCAAGCGTACAAATACAAAGATGTTATGAGAATATTTGTTTTTGAAAAAAATGATACACAACTTAAATATACATATTTCACATTCAATTGGTTTTTTTTTTTTTTGGATCAAAACAAAAAAAAATCTGAAATTTCTTATGTCATTTTTACCCCCTTCTTGCCTTGAGAAAAAAAAATAAAATTTAATGATGGTTTTTAGCGGGCTAGCCCGAAGTCCAAATACTAGTGGATTTCTAGAAACAACGCAACGTGTAGTGCAGGCGTTATGATACAAATCCATTCTCATTTCTCAGAACAGTCTGTCTCGACCCTTTTACCCGACCCTATCCGCCTGTCCCCCCCCCCCCCCCCCCCCCCCTCTCTCTCTCTCTCTCTCTCTGTAGCCTACCTCACGATCTCCCTCTCTCTCAGGGGTAAGTTTCCATACTAAGGCAATTTAATTAGGGTTACTTATCCTTCCAGTATATTCGATTATAAGCACATCAATACCCTCATCGTCGTGTATATACAAACAGATATACGTATACGAATATGACATTTGGCGTGTGTGTGTGATGAGTGTGTCGTTTTGCTTGATGTAATTATTGTGGCTTGAATTGGTATGGTTTTTTTCTTTTATCAATCAATTGTTTAATTAGGTTGAGATTGAATTTTTAATCAACTGTTTTGACTTTTTGTTAATTGCTTGGTTGAGGGTTTTCTTTGTAATGTCTTGCTGAACTTTTACTGCTCAGTTTGATCAAATACAGGTGCTGTGATACCTCGCAAAATGGACTTGGTATCTAAATATCAGGTACTTTCTTTTATCAGTTTTCCATTTTTAGCTGTATTAATTGCTGGAAATATACTCTTGTAAAATCTATACTTGGATGCTTTTCAAAAGTGGATAGCTCTTCGATTCTGATACTTAGCTTCTCTTTGTCTTGTGGATTGGTTTTGTTTGAATTGTGTATGAAAATGTATTAATTTTCAAAAAAATTCGTGCAGGGGGTTGTTGGACGTGTCTTTGGGGCCGAAAATTCAGCTTCAAGTGAAGATAGGTAAATCATAAATGTTTTATTTTTACTTCAATTGCTACATATTATGCTGTTTGATTTGCAATTTCAAGCAATGCACACCTTTTATGTTTTGGCTAGTATTCCACTTGTAATAAAGCTTCATTATGGCCAGAAACATCGAAACTTATAAGAGATGGAAACTTCTAGGGTTTGGTGTTGCTATTCCTTGGTGGGGGGCCTGGTTATTTTCTGACATATCGATAAATATTAAAGATCAAGGAGTGAAACCTTTCGCGCTGTTGATTGTTTGATTCTGATATTTATAATTGCTCACATATCTACTTGATTTATTGAAAAGTCCTACTCTGGGTTGTTTCTCCTACTCACTGTGAGCTTCATCGATGCAGATTTCATTTGTCATTTGTAACCCTGATTTGTAAAATAGTTCCTATAAAAATGAGGCTATATCTCATTTTCTTTGTATTCTTCATTATTCATGTTGGTTCAGTTTATTTGACCCGTTTGGCAGTTTTTCTAAAATCGGTCTTGTAAAACTTGTTTTTAAGAATACATTTTTTGTTGTTTCCTGAAAACTGGTCCTTTTCAACTTGGTTATAAATCAATTTTCAAAAGCGGTTCCCCAAACAATTTCAATTCTCTAGAACTCTGAGAATAAAAACTATTCTGCAAATCGTAATAAATGGGCTTTTATATTGTTGTACTGGTGATGTTGCTCAGTTCGAGTTTGGTCAAAAACGGTCATTAGTTTACTTTGCTTGGTAGCTCTGACCTATGTGAGGAACAGTGTGTCTGCTGGTTAGATGTGACAACTGTAAGTAAAGTATGCTTTTGATTGCTTCAGTGTGAGATCTTTGTGTTTACTAAGGATGCATCTCTATACTGGGGATGTTAGCAATCCACTGTTGTTGGCAATTGCATATTTTTGTTTGTTCTGAGGAATTGTCTGAATATTCTATTCTTAGTTTACTGATTGCTTTGTATAGTTGTATATGAAATTGAAGAGAAGAAAAAAAGGACAGACCAACTGCTGAAAAAGGAAAAAATAATGACATTTCATTAACCATGAATGTTGAGTATTGTGTTGAGTCAGTTAAGTTTTCACATTGGGTGGATTTTCTTGTAAAGCCTTTAGATGTTTACTTATTTCAAGCAACCGTTTTTTAAGTTTTACAGATTTTTATTACTAAATTGCATATAATTCTCTTGCCTTATTCATTATTTATAATAACTTGTTTCTAAATTATATTTACTAACATGATTTATCTACTTCATGGCTTGTTTCAATAGCTACGTTGAACGCTTGCTCGACCGTATAAGTAATGGTGTCCTGGCAGAGGACAGGAGAACTGCTATGGCTGAACTTCAATCTGTTGTCGCTGAAAGTCGCGCTGCCCAGCTAGCTTTTGGGGCTATGGGTTAGTATTTCTTTCTCGTTGGATAAAGTTGCATGGTTTTCTCATTCACATCTAGTGTGATGTAATACACTTGCTTCTATTGCAGGCTTTCCTGTGCTTTTGAGTGTCTTAAAGGAAGAGCGTGATGATACTGAAATGGTATGTCTAATTTTCATATTTCCTTGAGAAGTCAAAGTCATGGTCCCTAGTTTAACAACTGGACTGGAAAACTAACATGTAATGTCCAGCATTGCATTTTGTGGCAATTTGGATATTTTGGTCCAACCAGTCATGCTGTGAAGTAATTATAAATGATTATAAATAAATTTTAAGTGAATTGAGCATAGAACTTTTGATAGTTTTAGTACAGATTATATGAAAATTAGTAGTCCTATTATTTGAGGGCTCAGGGGGATGTCGATCATTTATGCTGGCATGATCTCTTTATCTACTGGGTTTTGCTTGGTCTGAAGTGAGCTGGACCTTCTCTTTCTTGAGGGACTGGGCTGAATCTTCCAGTAATCAAACTCTCTAGTCTAGTTTGCTGTTGAAAACACTATCATAGACTACAGTCATCCAGTTACGAATTGTTGTCTGTGCCTTGACTATGCAATGTTCAGTGAATTTAGTTGTTCTTCAGCCATTGGTCTCAGAACTATTGTTTTTCCAGCATCCAGCTTTTCTTGAAGCTTCTCATGCAAAATGATGTAGTATTATCCCTCTTCTGCTGATTTGTATGATATTTTGTTATTTGTATATCATGCCATCATGTCAATGATGCTAAATGTCTATTTTCATATCCTGGATGCTTCAAGGTTTGTGGGGCTCTGGAAACTCTTCTGAGAGCCTTAACACCCATTGGCCATGCAAAAGGATTGAAGAATGAGGTTCAACCAGCTTTACTGAATAGTGATTTGCTTTCTAGAGAAATAGAAAGCATTTCTCTGCTTCTAAGTTTGTTGGTGAGAGTTCTAAATGTTGATTTGTATTAGTTTGAGCAATCTCTCGATTGAATTTTCTTGGATAATTGGATCATGCATGTTCCTACGCAATATCCTAATATGTTACTGTGGCAGTCAGAGGATGATTTCTATATACGCTATTACACACTTCAACTTTTGACAGCCCTTTTAACAAATTCTCAAAATAGGTATCTTCCCATGGTTCCCTTTCTTCTTTATTGTATCAAAATTATTGGATTCTCTAGCTATGAAATTGTTGGGTCCTTTTTTAGGTTACAGGAGGCTATTCTGACCATTCCTCGTGGTATAACTCGGCTCATGGATATGCTTATGGATCGTGAGGTATGAATCTGGTAAATTGCATGAAATTCTTTTGGTTCTTTTTGTGTTGTTCCCGATTATGTCAGATCTTGAAAAAAATGGATGTGTCACCTTCTAGGTTATACGAAATGAGGCCTTATTACTTCTCACTTACTTGACCCGCGAAGCTGAGGTGAGCTTTTTTGCTTCTAATGGTCATTTTTATTATTGCTTTGAATCTCAATTATTATGTTTTGTTTTCCCTCCTAATGTATAGTAATCTATTATTTTTAGGAAATCCAAAAAATTGTGGTCTTTGAAGGTGCTTTTGAGAAGATATTTAGTATTATCAAAGAGGAAGGGGGCTCAGAAGGTGGCGTTGTAGTACAGGTGGTTTAATGACTTGCAATTTGCTTATGTATTTCTTTGTGGTTTCCCCTTTTTCGGACTTCTTTGCTTATAGTTGGTGTGCTACTGCAAGTGGCCTTTTACTTGATGTAATTTTGTAGTCTAAAGACTCTGTTTGCGATATATAAGCTCTACTACCCCATAGGTCTTCACATTAGAGCAATCTAGATGCAATTCTGGTTATTTGTGGTATATTTGCTTAATCTGGGGGGCTCTGATTTATGGTCACTGAGGCAATTCGTTAAGAATTTTAGTGTCCTCGATCACCAGTAGATTATATCTCACATGTGTGGTTTGCATTGCTTCCTTAGTTAGCAACCCAATTGCTTTGTTTCGTATGCACACTATAGTATAAAGCTTACACATAAACGAAGGGTGACTTGTTATGCATCATTGCTTCCAACTTTTGTTGTTGAATACATGTGTATTCTTCTATAGGGTTAAAGACAAATGGATGTCTTACCATTCTACTGTCGTTTAGTTCTGCTTGAGTTCAATTCTTATCAGATTTTCAAGCTTTGAAAATGAGAAATTCATCAATATAAGTGAGACTTTTGCTAATCTTTTTGTCACTGCACAGGATTGTCTTGAATTGTTGAACAATCTTCTCCGGATCAATGCTTCTAATCAGGTTCCTGCGCCTTGTATTTTGAATTTTGTTCTAGCTTTTATGGTTCTTTCGTCACTATTGACCTTGGTATAGACGTCATGTAGGTTTTGCTAAGAGAGACTATTGGCTTCGATCCTTTGATCTCAATTTTGAAGCTCAGAGGAAGTACATACAAATTCACCCAACAAAAGGTTAGGCACTCAAATTTTGTTTAATTTGTTCACTTCTTTTTTTCGCTGTGTGTGTCTGTGTAAAAGATATACAATTTCGTATATGCAATGACACCTGTCTTTTTGGTTATTTTTGGCTCTCCTTGAAATTAAATTGATGCCAGTAGACAATAAATCTACTCAGTGTGTTAGAAACCATTAGTTTGCTGATAAATGGAAGTTCAGAAGCTGAGCCAAAAGATGCAAATAGGCTGACAACTAAAACAATCTTGGTTCAGGTTTGTTTCAAACAATTTTACATGATAATAATACTGGAAGACGCTTATCTTTAATTGTGTTTCTCTCACTAATTTATATTGTTGGTTGTAGAAAAATGTTTTGGACCATCTTTTAATGTTGGGAGTTGAAAGCCAATGGGCACCTATTTCTGTGCGTTGCATGGTAAGATAATAGCTTTAGATGCTTTTCATGAGATAGTTTCTACTTACTATATGGCTTCTCTCTACTCTTGAGAGGCGTAGGTTTTTACATTCCTATGAAAGGTTGCAAGCAAACTCAGAATGGATGCAATTTATTGAAAAAAATGCTAGTGCCTGGCTATATCTGATCTAGATCGCATGATCTGAACTGCAGCACTCTTCTCTGCAATGTACAATTTGGCAACATAAATTTTTTATTCCCCATATTCTCTGGATAACAAAATTTGAAGTATTATTAACAGGAATTTCCTGAAATTGGAATTCTCTTTTAGAGACTACAATTTGATAGCACTTGCATATATCCTAAAGGAAAACAATGATGGATTTTTATGTAGTATATAACTGAGTATATGCAAATGAGTCCATCCTCATTGTGTATAATAGTGTAATAACATCCAGCTCTTTTTATTGAAGTAGAGAGGTATCCCTGTGCTGTACATTTGAAGGTGTCAAAAAGTCAAAACGATTTTTTTAGCCACCACAATATGCTGTCTCTTGACGAAACAAACTTCTTACAGAATTGGCTCTCAAAATAAGTTGCCAAGGAAAATTTTAAATGCTCTTTGACTTCTAACATACTTTATTGGCTTCATGACTACGTCAGGCACTTCGATGCATTGGTAACCTGATTGTGAATCACCCCAAAAATCTTGATGCCCTTGCAAGCAAACTTCTTGGGGAGGAGCCAAACGTAGAAGCTGCTCTCAATTCTATTCTTCGAATCATATTGCGAACTTCTAGCATGCAAGAATTCATAGCTGCTGACTATGTTTTCAAGAGCTTTTGTGAGGTTGGTATCACTCATCTGATATATCAGCAAGTTGTTCGATTTTGTTGGGGTTTCCATAGATGGTCTACACTCGAACACAGGGTGGAATTTCTCCCACACAGGCAATTGCTTATTAATTGCTTGCTACCAAAAAAGTTGTGTATTGATTACTTACTCTTTGCGTTTTGCTTTTGCTATTGTCTTCAAATCACACTTACTTGATCCACCTCATTTGAAGCAGAAAAATTCTGATGGTCAAACAATGTTAGCATCCACATTAATCCCTCAGCCGCAGTCAATGACACATGCTCCACTTGAGGAGGATGTGAAGATGTCATTTGGAAGGTTTGTTTGTTCTCCTTGCATTTTAATGCGGTATTTTACATAGTAGAGTTAGGGAATATTGGGCTTTTGTGATATATTAACTTCTTGGTTGAACTTTGATTTGTAAGAAAATCTTGGATTTTCTGCTGCTCATAATTAAATCTTCTAGTAATCTATTCTCTTGGCAGCATGCTATTGCGTGGTCTTACCTTGAGTGAAAATGATGGTGATCTTGAGGTAATGTGATACATTTACATATTACATTTTAGCATTTAGACAAGTGGAGACAGATGGGTTTTGTTTTCCATTGGGAATGAGGATGCTGACCTGTCTAACTGGACTCCATCCTGAGTCCCGTCTTGGGACAGTTGGTGTTCTATTGGTTTCATGGCTTCTTGTCTCAGTTTTGAGTGTCTTAGGCCCTCAATCACCATTGGATATTACAGTAATACATTTGTGGGCTCATAAATTTTTGTCTGTGAGAATTATCCAGCTAAATTTTTTGAATTGCAGACTTGTTGTAGAGCTGCCAGTGTTCTTTCTCATGTACTCAAGGATAATATCCAATGCAAGGAAAGGGTATGAATCTCAAATCCTCATTTCTATGCTTCCTACTTGGTCTACTTATAGGATCAGATATGTTTTGATCACTCTTGTTCTTGAAAATAATGCTCAGCATTTCGGTTTGCTAGGTTTGAGGTCTTAGATTTATCCTGCCTCTTTTGTTTTAGTGTGTAACATAGAACTTGCTGCAGATTCTAAGAATTGAACTTGAAGCACCTATGCCCTCATTAGGGGGCCCAGAACCTTTAATGCACCGTATGGTGAAGTACTTGGCACTTGCCTCTTCAATGAACAAGAAAGATGCAAAATCAAGTGCATCGGGGATTTTGTATGTGGAGCCAACTATCCTGAAACTGCTAATCATTTGGCTCTCTGATTGCCCAAGTGCTGTGCAGTGCTTCCTAGATTCACCTCCTCACCTGACATATTTGCTTGAGTTAATATCAAACCCAACCTCAACGGTGTGTATAAGGGGACTGGCGGCAGTACTTTTGGGAGAGTGTGTTATTTACAATAAATGTTGTGACAGTGGAAAGGATGCTTTTAGCATAGTTGATTCCCTAAGCCAGAAAGTTGGGCTTAGATCATACCTTTTGAAGTTTGACGATATACAGAAAAGCTTTCTTTTTTCATCTGCCAAGCCAGCCCTGTCCCATCAACCATTGATGAGATCTACTGCAGCTAGTATGGCAGAAATTGAAGACATTGACGAGAATGAGGCAACTAGTCAGGAAAATGAGGATCATCCAATGCTTGCCTCGATGTTTGATTCTCAGTTTGTCAGTTTTGTGAAGAGTTTGGAGGCGGATATAAGGGAAAATATTGTAGAAATTTATAGTCATCCAAAGAGCAAGGTAGCAGTTGTGCCAGCAGAAATGGAACAGAAAAGTGGGGAAAGTGATGGGGACTACATCAAGCAGCTGAAATCATTTGTGGAGAAACAGTGCTCTGAGATACAGGTATGGCTCTATACATAGTTGCTATAGAAATTACTAGAAAAGGGACCAGCATTATGTATTTTGTCCCATTCTCCATATTCTAAATTACTGAACATGATTGGATTAGCGACTACATAATGCAATCCATAAGATGCTCAAGGAAACACAAGTTTGAAGATGTGAAAAACAATGGAATTGACTTTCCATCAAGATAAAGATCTATATGGAACCTTGTATTATTGTATTTTGTGTCTTATTTTAAATTAGTTTGAGTTAATTTGTTAGCATTATTATATTATATGTCCTTTTAATACTTTTTAGAGTCGGGGGTATTTTTGTAATTTTAAAATTTTTTGGAATGGGTCATAGTCTTTTGGGTCAAATTTTAGTATATAGAGTCATAGTTCTAGTTTGTTAGTCTTCTAATTTTTAGTGATCTAGAGGTTTTGGAGTCATAAGACTTTGAAATTCTAATCTTTTAGGATTAGGAGTACTTATAACTCTATATATAGTTGGTGATATTTTTAATAAAAGAGAGAAAAATATTTCAGAAATTTCAGTAATTATATGCTTCTTGAATTATGTGATGCAATTCTAACCTTAAGTGTGATGCCTAAGGAATCCTAATAGCCTATTTGACCGTTCACAGCATATTTTACTGTTTATTACTGTGTTTTTTTTTTTTTTTGAACAAGAAATGCACCATTTTCATTCAACTTGGAAATAAGCAGTTACAATTAGATGAAAGAAAAGTCTTGAGCTCTGGTGGTGGACAGCTGACCCAACTCAATGGTAGAGTATGGGACATAACTGATGCTGCCACCAGTGAGCTGCCCTGTTATCGGCGCTAGACTTGTGTAAAAACTTTAAGTTAAGTTGTCTTGCAATAGCCTTGATGTCTTCGACCAGAGAGCTGATTTGCCAAGGGGAAACTCCTTCAGTTGAGCTCAGCTGAATCACCTCAACGTTATCACTCACAATGTTGGCCCGCTGGAGATGCAGGGTATAGGCTAGAAGACAGGCTTGCCACACAGCCGCTGCTTCTGAGAATAGCCTAGACACCGCCGGGATTTGTTTGCCTATGCCATCCCTGACTTTACCATTACTATCTCTTACAATCACTCCTACGGCCGCCTTCTTCCCTTTAAAAGCTCCATCACAGCAAAGCACTGGTCCCGTGTTTAGCACTGGATTTTGAGTCTCCCTTTGGACTAGTTCAGATGCTTGGCGCATCGAGGGGAGGGAGTTAAGAGAGTTAAAAGCTCCATTACTGTTCACAGACTATTTTACTGTTCATATTACTGTTCACCATCCCAAAATAGCTCCTATTTTGATTTTACACCGCTGTCCTACTTAATTGCACTTATTTGTATTTCTGTCATTGGGAGGACATGTTAGTGAGGGTTTAGGTATGCACCCTTGGGCCTCTTTGAAAATCTTGGTTTCAGCACAACTTATTTTAAAGTGAAACGTAGTACAATTTTTTGCCAAACTTAATTTGTTCTCATATAAAGCAACATGAGCAAGTCAAATCAATCTAGGAAGTTGAAGGAAAATTTTGCTGAGTGGGAGGGTATCCCCATAATATTATTAGCTGGTAGTTCTACCCTTTTTATGATGTCTGTCTGTTGGATGACATCTTGTCTTTGCAAACTCCAGGTATTCAATTTTTTTTGCGTCTCTGAGTTTTTGTACTTGTATGCCACAATCCACTTAGAGAAACTTGTCCATATATTGCCTGTACTTGATCGGGCCCTTACATGCCGTAGTACCATTGTTTTCTCAGTTGCTGACCGAGTTGTTGTTATATCATGCAGCAACAAATTGTCTTACATGCCAAATTGCATGGTTGTAGGAATTTGTGAAGATCACTAACTACAATAAATATGCATTTGGGCATTGTTTGTAAATTGTATGACCTGTGTTTTCCCTCCCTTTTTCTCTGTCTTACATCCTTTACATTATTTTGATTTTTAAAAGGATCTTCTGAGTCGGAATGCAACTTTAGCTGAGGACCTGTCCAAGACCAGTGGGGGTGGAGCATCCCAGTTTGAACATAAAGGTAGTGGGGGCGCAGAAAGGGTCCAAGCAGAGACACTCCGAATGAAACTTCAAGAGGCTTCTCAGCGGTTGGAGATGCTCAAGGTGGAGAAAACCAAGGTTGAATCTGAGGCTTCAATGTATCGAAATTTAGCTGGGAAGATGGAATCTGATCTGAAGAGCTTGTCAGATGCATACAACAGTCTTGAACAGGCAAACTTCCATCTAGAAAAGGAAGTTAAAGCCTTAAAGAGTGGAGGAGCCATACCTGTTCCTGATGTTGAGGCTATAAAGGCAGAAGCCAGGGTAGAAGCCCAAAAGGAGAGCGAGGCTGAATTGAATGATTTGCTTGTCTGCCTTGGACAAGAGCAAAGCAAGGTAGAGAGACTAATTGCAAGGCTGTTAGAGTTGGGGGAGGAGGATGTAGAAAAGTTGCTTGAAGGTGTTGGAGATGATATGGGTATGCCCGAAGATGAAGAGGAGGAGGACAATTGATGGTGCTGCTGTAATAGTTTTACAGAGCAAAGTTTCTACATTGTTGATCTTTCTTTTTTCTTTTTTATTGTCAAAATTCTTGCCTTTGCCCGATTACGGTTAATTTGTTGACTCTCTTGTGTATTTTCTTAGATTGAATTGTACAGTCTGACATTGCTATTTATGGGTTTTTGAAAATATATTGGGTTATGGCATGATTAACTTTCACTGTGTTACCTTCCTCGGTGGCGTCGACAGATTAAAATTTTGTACATGCTTATATAAGATTTTAAAATTCTGAATTCAAATCAATAATTGGGTGTCATTAACTTTTTTATTGGGACTTACTCATCTAATGAGTTTGAATCAACGAAACAGATAAGTGAGTTTTATTAATTTTTTTAGTGGGATTTGCTCATCTAACAGTCACTATCTGATTGATGAGTCATAATAAGAAAATTCATGGTTCAAATAATTAGTAAAAATAAAACTTCAATGAAATTCTAATGCCATTATATTTCAATTTTATCCTAAACTTTTAGTTATTAGAACTTTATGTGACAACTCCCGCAATACACTCTTAATGAGATTTTTCAATTGATATTTGTTTCCTTGCTCAACAATGATATCATGCTTTTTTTTTTTATGAAGATTATGAAATAGATTTTTTTATTGCCCTTTTGGGAGAACTTTTCACTCGTTGGAAAATTGCTAGAACTAAGAAATATACCATTGTTGTGTATCAAATGTTATTCAACTCAATTTTATATGAGTTAATTTACTTATTTATTTTTAGTAATAATGTTAAAATTTTTATTGAAACTATTGTTATAAACACATGGATGCTCAATTTTTATTTAGATAATAATATTCACTTCAATTGTGATTCTAAAAATTGTGCACTAGAGTTCTTGTCGTAAAACTCTTATCTATCAAGAATACATAAGGTCCAAAGTCATCTATTGCATCCCATAATGTGATAATGGCAATTCTAAAAATTATTAATAATTGAATTTTTCATAAAAGTAGCAAGTAGATAATACATAATTTCTAAATACCTTAGGTGTCAATATTTGTCAAGAGAATGATACAATTGAAACAAAATATAGTATTTATGGATTTTAGGACTTCATTCAAATAAATTACTTAGAGTAGAACTTCATTGATATAAAATAAAAATGATCAAACTTAATGGATATTTGGGGGAGTAATACTTATTAGTAATCTTTCAAAGAAAAAAGGGTAAATTTACTCATTCTATCATTTGATACTGTCTAATCACAAAATTATTAAAAAATTGGAACTAAGTCCCACCATACATCTCTGCAAAAATGTTCAATAACCATATAATATATTTGTAATATCATCCTAAACATTGATAAGGATTTTATGTGAAATTTACGCTTGAGACCTCAATTTGTGTTGAATCGCCCTTTGTGAAGACTTTTCATGCATATTGTTTTAGTTGAGAAATCTTCTATGATTACGGCTCTCTTTCACCCATTTGCATTTTCCAATTTGATATTTGATCCGGTTAAAAGTTTTTTATGTTTTTAGCCTCTGTCCCAATAATATTTCAAGAACCCCTCAATCGATTTTTCACAAACTTCAATTTATTATTTATTTGATAAATTTTTTTCAAAAATTATCATTGAGATATTAGAATAGCAAACTCAATTTAACTTAAAGCTTAACAACTAAGCATGTAATAATTTCAAAATAAAGAAAAACAAAACAAAAATAAAAGTCAATTACCAACACTTTCGCTTTCAAATCAAGAAGATAGAACCAAAAAACTTGTATATGCAAAGAAGGATCAATTGCAAAAGTTCTTAAGTCGATAAAAGGATTACACAATTGAAGCAACAAAAGGATAGGCTGCTACAATATAAAATATTTAAATAATGCCTAAAATTTAAGTATATATAAATATATATACAATTTTTTCAAAAATTTAGGCTCAGTTAATTTCTTATGTGTAACTGTCCTCCCAAACTAACTATATCAATTTTCTTACCCAGATCATTGTGACACTATAGCTACACTTGTGTGAAGATATTCATGGATCTATCTGTCTAAAGATAACTTGTATTACGGATCACATACGATTTAGCAACATATGCCAATTATGCTAATTAGTCACAATGAGACAACGGTAACAACTTCCAACAAAACTTCTTGGTGTTCTGATTCCCAGCACGACTGCTAATTCCAGACACTTCTTAGCATTTCTTAAAGACCATAGCAGACATCCACTTTCTCATGTTTGTGTCAAACACCACGATGTGTGTTTGTTCAAATTTCAGATGACTGGTGTTGACCCACCCTATCTTGGCATTTACTTGAGAAATCCTTTTAGTGTCTCCGATGATATTTTCTGCCTCATCTCACTAAAGTTTGTTTACCCAACTCTACGAGGCACCATATGGTACGCTTTGGAGTATTTTTACGCAGTTGACCAATGCGAAAAAATTCAATTGATATTCGATACTAGTACTATAGTAATTGGCTGTTATTGGTGGGGAGTTTTACAGTGTTTGGATAAATATATAGTGTCATGTCAGATAGTGATACGGAAGAAGACACCGAAGTCTTGAACTCACCAAATTCGAAGTCGTTTGCTGTGACGGTCAAGAACCTCGAAGAGTACATAGTATTCTTGGGGGTAAATAACCCAGTCGTAATCACTTCAAATCCTTCAAGTTATACAAAGTGAAATTAGAATCTGTCATGTTATCATTAGGTATGTAGTTTGCAAATTGTAAAGTTAAGATCACACAAATAAATAAATTGATTGAAGACTTAAAAAAGAGCAGGAGAGTTAGAAATAAGGACAAGAATAAGGAGTGAGAGTGGAAGGGAAATAAAGACTTGAAGACACTGTGAGAGTGGAAGGAAAGAAAGTTAAAAAAAAATTGAGGGAGATTGTTACTTTTAAAGCTATAAGTCATAACTTTTTAGGCCTTTCTTGTGTTATGTAGAAAGTATGTTCAAAATATTAATGTGTCCTTTTGTGTGTGTATTCATCATAACTTTTTAGGTTTTTTTAGAATGTTTTGTTTATTTTAGATCTTTTTAGAAGATTTTATATAAATTTGTGAAATCTATTGGACCTCTAAATTCATTTCATTCAAAGTAACCTCAGAATATATAATTGAACTGAGGACTAAAAATTTAATTAGGACCTTAAAATTTTGAAGCTTTAGACGACTATTTTAATAGTCTAGCCCTACTTCCTCCAATTCAAAAGATCGAAGTGCATGTATGTCCTTCATTGTCAATCAGTGGATGATATACAAGGATTAAATATAATATTTGTGTTAATCTATATTCTATGTATTTTGTTTTAATTTATCAAAAATCTTATGTAGATTGTTATAAGCCGATGACATAGTTAAGATGGTCAATGTTAAAAGGTGATGCCACCTATTTTTTCTTTTTTGGTAATTTAGACATATTAAACATTAGGTATAGGTGTTGGTTCAAATCTGTTGAGACTGATAAAAATCTCTTAATCGACAGATAATTTTCAAGCGATTGTTTAAAATGAGCTCAATATTTTGTTTTAGGACTTCTTTGGATATGAAATTTTTACTGTATAGATGTGAAGTTCAAACAGAGAACTACTAAATTTTTTTTTTTTATTAACCCAATGAAATAATTTCTAGTTATAATCTTGAATACAACACTCACTACACATAAAGCTAATCAAAAATTACTTCTAATGATACCCTAATTGTGGGTCGTTTAAGAGTTTGAATGCATTATTCTTTCTTCATTAAATGCCCTTTTTATAGTCATTTTTTTTGACGATTTTACTCTTACTATCAGTTAGTACCTTCTTTTCAAATGTAATTCTAGTTAATCATCTTCCGTCTTTCTTAAAATACTATAATGTGACACTTTTTTAGCAAATTTGAGAATGTTAAGTGTCAATACATTGCATATTCCTAAAATTTTAAATTTTAGGCCTGCACAATGTCTCCTCGTTTATTTGAGTTTAGTTAATAACTCAAATAAATAAACAGTTATAATCGTTTAACGTACACATAATTAAATAGTTGAGTGCTATATTGTTCACTTAACACTGTCTTCGTGCTTTATTGTTATTGACCATTCTTTACTTCCGACCATCTTCCTTGTTCTTATTTTTCCTCTTTTATTGGTGGCTTTGATGCACTATTTTAAAATTGTCGCTTCTATAGGATACAACAAAAATCTAGATCTTTTTCTCGATAAAAAAATAATATTTATGACAACAAAAACAATTACAAATAATAATTAGTGATTTAAACGAAATTCTTTTTGATATATAGTTAGCCAACACATCGGTACTAGTGATTCAATCCTAATGCATAGCATACTAGTACGAGACTTGCACCACTACAAAAATTCGATAAAATCAAAAACATTATTCCCTGTATGCAAAAATATTACAATTGAAATAACTTTACTGTTGCACAAAGGCTCACCCTTAGAACTTGATTACCACCCTCTCAAATCCAATCATAGCAACAAAGCATAGGTTGGTCGGACCATCTTCCCTGGAAGAATCATCACTAAGAACAAACCATTAAACTAAACCCTAAAACAACTAGCACTGCAGGTTCCACACCAACCAGATACCCTGGTCCTCATCTTGATTGAGACCTGCTGGTGGTTAGTCACTCTCATCCTAAGCAGAAATTATAAACTATTTTTGATGATTCTTTTTTTATTAAAAATAAAATAAAATATTTCTGTTGTATTTATTACTGTCTTTCTTTCAATTGTTGACTTGTCATTGTATCACCACTATTAGGAAGAATATAAAAAAGGTCACAAGAAGTCATGTGACCTGTGGTGCTACACAGCCACACACACACAGCCAGCAAACACTTCCATATTTTCCCGGCTCCTCTCCAAAACTGTAATTCTCTTGATTCTACATCACCAATTATAAATCCAAGTGCAATCTATAGTACTCAAGTACCTGCTTCTTCATACACGATAGACGATCTAGACTTGAGAGGCCCGAAGAAAAGTAGACTAGGAGAGTATTCTTCCTTGTCATCTCTCCACTCCTTCGTCTTCAAGTAGAAGTAGAACATCAAGCTTCATGCCTAATATCTAGCTACAAAGTTGGATATGATTTCGCATGCTTATTTGTCGGTTCTGGTTGTATGCTTATATCCCCAATGCAGTTTCACTGAAGCATGTGAAGCTCTACAATGTGTTAAAAGGTTAATGCATTTGGTACTCGAATTAAGCTGGTTCAAATTGAAAGTTAAAAAGAGTCCATGCCCACAATGCAGATAACAGAAACCATCAGAGAGTACCTAAAATCAACTTCAGGGTCAACTAGCCTTTCTATTTGAATGTAGAAGTCAAACTCAGAATCATATGCTATGCTTTTTTTCCAATAAATAAAAGAAAAGAAAAGTTCCTTGTAATTTTTAAGCATGTTTTATGGAATATTCTAAAGCTTGATTGAAATATCCTTAATTTCTTAGTATGTCTTTTAGCATCTAAGTTCAACAGTGCACATGCCACTGTTCTAGGAATCTAAGAATCTTTAATACAAGAGTTGCACCATATATGACCTAATCATCGAAATATAGATATCCACACATGCAAATAACGTGGTTAAATTAGCTCAGAGACTACTAAACTTTTGAAAACTATACTGCACTTAATTAGTAAATGTTACATTCACAGGATCTTTTTTTCCCAATGTGTCGGTGAACTTGGGAAGACCCTTGCAAGAAATTTTAATAAACCAATGATTAAATATCGAGAAAATGAAAATAGAGAAGGGGAGGTACAAGAGGAAAGAAAGGACCTCTCATCCTCGGCTGTCACTGTGCTTCACTAATCTCACCTTCCCTACATACACCTACATCTACCACCATGCTTTTTCCCTTCATTTCCAACACCCTACAACAGTTTCTTCTTGGGGACTGCCAAAAACAAATAAAAAAAAATGCCAAAACGCAAATTGTTAGCCATGATATAATAAAGTTTTAACTTAATTCGTACATCATTTGCTAAAGACGGTACTAACTAAGCTGGAAATTGTGTGTCCTGATTCCAAGTAATCACTTGTAAGGTTGAGGGCTCAAAGTTGTCATTTGATGAAAGGTTTGTCAACAGCATTCTAAGTGTGGCAATTCCCAATCTAGAGACCACTTCACCAACAAAACTTAATATTTTGCAAAAAACATAAGGACATTTGTATCTCAAATTTGCTGTATAGATGTTTGATGATAATGGTTCAAAAAATGTTTGGTGATGGCTGTTTAAACTAAAGTAAGCAGTTACAGATATGAGATATAGTACTTACCCTGTCCCATAGACGTGGGTCAGGCTTCTTGTAGACCTCCACTCTGTCTAGTTCAACTGGATCTGCCATCTTCCATCTGCAAGCAGGATGAGGAACTTGATGCCGTGTATACTGACTCACTGTTTGATTTGTGCCAGGATTTAATCTCGCCCTCGACAAATAAAACACAAAGGGCTTCTGACAAGGGTTTCTCATAACCGGACGTGTGTTGAATGCATAGGCCGTGTAATCTGCTCTCCTATACCAATTCAAGAATGTTCTAGATGGCATTTCAATCTCACGTGGTGACAAAACTCCGCGAAATATCTGAATTGCAAAGCCCCAAGAAACTGAAACCGTCCAACTCCTCTGTTTGTCATAGCAAATGGATTGTTGCATGAGACCTGCAGAGTCTAGCTTCATCGGCAATGTGAGCCGCTGTAGAGCTTGCACGCGAGTCACATTGGGGAAAATTGGCTCCACCAAATCGAGGTGGTGCAACGACACCAATGGCGTCACTGGATGCGCCCCCAGGAGCCCAAGTAAGTTCCCGTACACATCATACTGAATTCCAATCCACCAAGAAGAGAATCACTGTTAGAATTCAGCAAAAGAATCATTCATGCCTACGATCACAACATCCACCAAATCACCAACCTAAAACCAAACACATACCACTACCACTAGTCACGAAAAGTCGCATCAAGTAGTTAAACGGAAGTGGAACAAGGCTGGAAAGATATATTAAAAAAAAAAACATTGATTAAAAATCCGGTCCACCCTCCCAGGAACGGTGAGGACCCATGTGGGTCCCACCACCCAGCCTTTTACCAGCTATTGGACCTCTTTGGGATGTGGACCCACGTGTATTCTAGTGAAAACTCATATAACAAACCCCAATTCTTTCTAAAAATTGCCATTCAAGAAATTAGCACTTCCTATTGGGGAGGTAACAATTTACCCAGAAATTACTTTACCCAAGAAAAAAAAATTACCCAAAATGCATCCTACTGAATGGAGATTTTATCTTGAGAAATGCTATTAGAATATAATTTATAGAAATAATTTAGACACATAATGTAATGTATTGTGACGGATTGAGTAATAGAAGAATACATTTAATACTACAATGGGTCCCATCATTAGATGTATTCCCTGTCAACTCATTGGATACAATAAATTATGTTTTCAAATTATGTGATCCTAATAGCATTAGTGTTTTCTGAGTAATTTATTTAAACTTAAAAATTTGATCACATTTGTGGACTTGATGATGTGATTCATTTGAATCATCGGATGATTAGTAAATTTCAATGTTTAATAAGTCCTGCGGTCAATCTAAAGGTTAAAGTAAATCAAGTCAACAAATAAAGTTGAATTTTTAAGTTAAAATAATATTTCTCTAACTAAAAAACACCATTAAAGAAATTAGAACTTTTTTACTAGGGAGGCAACAATTTACCAGAATTTTTAGGTTTGACATAGCATTACTCTACTGTTTAATGGGCCCCCACAGTAATGCTCGTTGTACCGAGGGAGGTCTTATTCATATGGCAAAATCCACCCTTTTTTTCTTTGGTTTACAGAGAGGGCATTCGACCAACTTCCATATAGCTCGGCTAATCTCACTCTACTTATTAATGCTTCTAGTACTAGGCATTCAATATGAAAAAAAAGCTGTGCAGAGGATGTGAACACAAATGGCACTTTCTAGGCCTGGGCCTCGCAGTGTCGGTGAAGCCCAAACTAATCGAAAACACCCAAAACACCAAAAGTAAAAACACCCAAAAGAAGCAAAGGGTAGGATATGGATAAACAATTAAACACAGACCTGGTGGAAGCCAATTTCTTTAGTGAGAGGAACACCCAGTTCTGCCATACAAGCTTGCATTCTATCATCAGAACCGTACAGTCCAGGGTACCTCTGAATACACCTATCTTGCATTCTATCAAGAGCCTTTGCCAATGGATAACTTATTGCAAACCCACCACCACCATAAGCCATACTGTAAGAAAAATAAATGTTCTGCAAGTGACTCTCACTTGAGCTCCCAATGTAATAGAACTGATTGTGATCATACTTGTTCAATATTCTCACTAAATTATCAGTAATAAAGACTGTGTCATCGTCACCCATCACAAACCACTTCACATTCTCCATTCCTAATCTTAGGGTCTCCGATACGATCCGAGAAATCCGAATGGCTGACCGGTGACCCTGCCGGTTTTTGTACCCAAAACGAGAGGTGTCGCCGGAGATTTTTGTAGGTGGAAGACCCCAGTTTTTTTTTGTCTTTACGGGCTTATCTAGCCATACTATGCCTCTCATCTCTTCGGGTTTCCACCAAAGCTCTATGTAATTCTTCCTCTTTTCCCAGAGTTTCGCCGAGGCCGCAATGCCGAATACAATGTCTTTGAGCTCTGTTTTTTGATGGGTTTCTGGGATTTTGTCTGTAGAAAGCTTGGTTTGATTGTGAATAAAAGAATCTGATGAGATTGCTGAGTTGTGTTTTTCAGAGGTTGATGATGAATGTAAGACTGGAGGGTTTCGATTGGGGCTGGCGAAAATATCATCGTCGCAAGCGCGTGAAGACGAGACGAGCTTGAGAGTGTAGACGACGTAGGTAGCGGAGACGAAGAGGATGAGCCAGACCATGAGCTTCGGCAGCGCTCGATTTTGTGACCCAGGGACCGGAATGGGCATGCACGGTGGGCTTTTCATCTGATCCCAAAGGATTTTTTCCGAATCTTTCTGGGCCATTTTCATTTTTTTTCTCCGAGTTCAACAAAAATAAAAAATAAAACTTGGGTTTGTAAGAAGATCAGACAATGAATTGGTTGCTTTGAGTTTGGGTTTTCTTGTTGAAGATGGTCACTGGTGGGCAAATCTGAGTTCTTTGGGAGAGACTCATGAGATCTGTGACAGAAGAGTTGGGAGGGACGCTTCAATATTTTGCAGACACAAAAATTATGGATGGAGAGAGAGAAAAGCAATGCAGATTGAAAAGAATCAATCTATGAGAAAAGAAGGATGGGATTGGGGATGGGAGTGGAGAAGGGGAAGTTTGAGAAAGAGAGAGAATAGAGGATGCATTGATGACAGATTGCACTCTCTCCCGAATAGAGCTCAGCTGCACAGGAGAGAGAGAGAGTGCTTGAACTCTTTTGGGCTTTATACGGCATGTATCTATAGATGGTGATATATACAATGGATATGTCTGTTTGTGTTGGGTCGGGTTTTTTGAACAACTACTGGGTCGGTTCAGTGCTATGTGTGGTGTGGAATATATAGTTTAATATTACTCGTCGAATCTAACTGGATTTCCATATACTAGTGAATGAGTATTAATTGAACTCCAATTTCAATTTAGATACTGTTATGAATCATTAATCCTAATCAAAAATTATTATTAAATGATTTTTTAAATTATTATATACTCGCATTATAAGGTTAGCTGTTAGCCGTTAATAGTCACCGACCCTTTGTCAGACTTGCTCATCCTCCCTACAACAATGTCCTCAATCCTATTCCTCCCTACAACAACAACGGAAAAAAAAAAAAATTATAATAAGAATGATTACTCATATTTTACTTAACAAAAGAACCAACATAAATTGATTATGTATGATATAAATTTTATTATAAATAATTTATATACGACATAAGTAAATTGTATTTAAATTAATAAAATCAACAAGAATAAAAATCTCTAGGAATTCAACTTGGATTTGATATTTATTGAAGTGTTATCTGTTTAAGTTGATACAATTAGTAAATTTTCATACAAAAACATTAAAAGCATAAACAAGGAAGGGAAATATTATTTAATCCAAGTGGCTAATAGGAAACACGTCTCTTTCTATACTAATTGATTCTCACCAGAGTTTGTACCCAACCAATTACTCCATTTCATCTCGTTTTGGACCAAAAAAAACTATGTAATATTATTATGCAAGTAAAAGTCGTGAGGATCATTTGTAAAATAATAATAATAATAATAATAACTAATTTTGCTATATTAAATTTTAACAGGACTAAATTCATTATTCTCTTTCATACCATATAACCCCCAATATATCAAGTTACAAGAAATTCATAGTTGAAATTCACTAGAACAAAATCACAAATTATACCTAATCAGAATTCATCACAATTCAAACTATCATCAATAATGCCCTAGTCAATCAAGTCACTGAAACTCACATTTATATTAATGTACATAAACACGTACACACACTAGTCAATAAAGCGAGAGAGACGGTTTTTTTTTTAAATCAGAGAGAGAGGAGTTGAAGGGGGAGAATTGAATTGAGTGATAGTTTAGAGCAAAAAATATAATTTACATTTTAAGTTAGATCTAATCCATAGGTGGTTGAGGCCTTGGAATGTACAAGGGGCTCCAAATTATATAGGGTTCATTTGCACTATGACATCAAAACGGACAAGTGTTTTTGTCATAATTTTGTTGTTTGTGTTGGCCTACCACGTAATAATCAGAAACGCTGCACTTTTATATTGCTTCCCAGATTTGGACATTGTACCAATATCATTAGTACCTTTCAAAGCTTCCAACAAAGTATTGCAATAAGCTTTTGAGGATGTCGATAGAACTTAAGAGTTAACGACTCGCGGTGGACAAGGTTTGTTCATATCGAGTTAAGATGGATTCGTGCGAAAAAATATTACATTTATATCTGATTCATTTATTAATTTATGTCTAACGAATCCTGTCATATCGGGTTTGTGTCGTATATGAATTATGTATAAGCGATATATACACGAGTTGTATCGTATATTTTTTTTTGATTGACTTTACTTATACCTGATTTGTTTATTAAACGTGTCATATCGGGTTCACACGTTTACAAAATAGTTAATTTTAGTAAGACTCAAACCTTCTAATTTTGTATCGTGTTAACAAGTCGTGTCATATTTTAACACTCCTATCTATAACCCCAACCTTTTGTCCACATTGAGTTTTAATTTCCCATTTATTTCAATTAATAATTGATCATATCATGTATGATTTATATTATATCAAAATTTATTCAACATATATCAGCTTCATTTTTTAAGCATTTAATCTAACGTACGTTAATTGTGTTTACTTAATTTTACATTATAAATAATTAGGTATTATGTATCAACTTTTTTATTATTGAGCTTCATCTATCAATTCATTTATGACCCGACTTCAATATGAGTAAGCTCATTTTGTTTCTATTGTCAATTTCTTTGTAAGTTAACTAGTCATGACATAATCCACAAATTAGACCACTTGCATTCCCCTTCACTATGTCATTTGATGTATGTTTGATGGCAAAATTGGCATGGACAGCCTTGCTAGGGAGTAAAGATTCAATGTAACGTAGGGAGTAAAGATTCAATGTAACGGTGATACCATGTTAGCATTGTTATATAGTTTCACTAATCAATAATAAAACATCTATGACCAAAAAAAAAATCAATAATAAAACATCAAATAAGTAAAATAAACCCCATTTGAATAATTATTAGTTTACGTGGAGGGGAATTCGGTAGTTATTGGCTTACATAGAAGGATAATTATTAATTTATGTGGGATCCATTTGTTATTTATTTAATTGATGATATTATATAATAATACTGACGTAGAATCACCGTCATATTAAATATTTTCTCTGAGGGGCGTAGACGACCATTTACATTAATAAAAAAAAGTTTAAAGTGTGTTGTGAATAGCACCATATGCTTTAAATCTGAGTTGAATATCTCTTTAATCGACATAGGGGTCAACAAAAAGAATTTGCTTCTAGGACCTAAAAGTTCACTTAACCTCATAAACAAGTAATGGAATCTATTCTAGGCTTTTTAAACAATTTTACTAATTTTAGACCACATGACGCTTACAATAAGATACTCGCACCTAATTAGCAACTACTAGTGCCATAGTTAGATGGAATATAATCGTACGTTTTGAATTAAACTTGTCCAATTTTAATTAGCAACTATTAGTGTCGTAGTTGGATGGAATATAGTTATTTTGAATTAGACTTGTCCGATTTTAATTAATAACTACCAGTGTTGTATTTAGATGGAATATAGTCATTTTGAATTAGATTTGCCCGATTTTAAAGCACGTGCAATTATGGTTCACCAGTCATACTTAAAGGCAATAACAACTATTGGTGTCGTAGTTAGATGAAATATAGTCATTTTGAATTAGAATTGTCCGATTTTAATTAGCAACTATTAGTGCCATAGTTAGATGAAATATAATAGTTTTGAATTAGATTTGCCCATGACGGTTCAACATTCAAAGTTAAAGGCAATGAGGATAAACTGTAAATTCAAACGTCTTGAATTCGAATCTTGATAATTCTTTGAAGTCAAACGTGAATGATCTATCTTTGACAGGACCGAGAAGAAAATAAGTCGATTTATGCATAATAAGCTAGTTAAACACCCTAACCCTTTAAAAAAAATGCAATATATTATAGTTGAGTATGTAAAATTGAATTAGCATAATTTATACACTTTAGATCTAATTCATCTTGCTCCATGTTATTTGGGATTTCAAAAAATTGACTCTCACCAAAACTATTGTCATCTTCCTAAGGCCCCGTCTTGCCAAACTAAGTAAATTGCTCGAGCAAGAAAACTCAAGTTTTGTTTTTTGTTTTGAAGGATAAAAGTCGAGATCTTATTAATCTTCCTCTCATGTTTTTGTTTTTTGGGTGTTTGTTAAAACGTATTTTTTTGTATTTTTATTTTTTGACCTTATTTTTAAAACAATTCCTAAAAAATAAAGATACATTACAAACACAATTTTATATTTGTTTTTTGACAAAAATTAAAAACAGAAACAACAGGTTATCAAATGCAATCCTAGTAATTACTTTTTATATAGTTAACTCGATTTTAACTAAAAATCAAAAAATTATCCACTCTCACACATGATTTGGAATCGAGGTACAGGAGTTTCATAGTAATTTTTTTTCTCTTTCCTCCATACCTTCTAGTTATTTATGAGGGTGTTATGTATCACATATGGATAACACTGTGGGAGTGCTTCGTACGGAAAATTTTTGCTAGTCATTGATGATATTATCTTGATATGTTTATAATTATCGGTCATAAAAATAATAAATATAATTTTTCTTTATATGTATCTTTCTCTGACTGAAAATAGAAAACTCAAAAGCATATATACCAATAACTTTTATTTATTTAATGGGTTCAATTATGACGTCGAAAAATTAGTTCAATGCCTTGACCATGTAATTACTAGTGCTTGGCAACTGGCACGAAATCACTTTTGAATTGCCGATGGTGTGGATTGGGCCTCGTGGGCCAGTTTTGAACCCCCAAACAATTGTCAACTACAGTTTGAATCTAAACAAGGAGGTTGGATGGTCACCGTCGGTCGGTGCTATGGGACCAAACGACGAAAATAAAATCACCGTCAAATAGAGTTTAAGCTTTAATATCATTTGACTAAATAGTAATTGATAAAAAGGCACTAGTATTTATCTCATGACCACAAGTTTTTTTTTTTTTGGTTCAATGATCACGGTGTCTAGTCAATTTACATATATCTTGATTAATCTCTTTCACGGTCCGATCAAAAAATAAATAATCTATATTGAGATTAGAATATTTAAGAAAAATAAATTTTTAATAACTTAGACTCTAAAAATTAATAAAATTTGAATTTAAAACGTTTTAATTTGTGATTCATTCTGATTTGAGTTACCACGTGAGGCTATGACCACACAATTTTTCACTGTACGGTTAGTAGATGGGCCCAGGGCAGGGTTAACAGCATTGGCCTAAAATGGAGGTTCCAGTACATGGCTAGTATCCTATGCAATCAAGCAATTATTAACTAAGAGGATGATTTGTCGAGCTTTGTTAACCTCACATCCAAACGTCCATCGAGTAGTCACAAAAAAAGTCTCGACATTGAATATTAACGTTAAAAAATAATGCTACATAAATTTAATAATCTCGATCATTGAATAGAGAGTGGATCTCAATAAATATTGGAACTCACAGTAAAATTAATTGTTGAAATTATCAAGTCTAATTTTTAAATTCATGTAGTATTATTCTAACATTAAATCAATTGGTGCGAATTAATTTAGTGATTGAACAAAAGAAAGACACGTAAAACAA